GGTCCCCAGCAAATGCCTGTCATTGCCATCATTGCTGCCATCATTGCTGCCATCATCATCATCCTGATCTTCCTGCTACTCTTGGGAAATTTGGTTTCATCAACAAGATTGTCAACAGCTGATGTTCAACCGCCCCCCATCCCTACCTCCTACTGAACAGAGCAAAGGTTTTTCCTTAACGGAAACGCTTCATATGCTTCCTAGAGCATTTATATCCCATAGGGCAGAGCACATAGTAAGTCCTCAGGAAACTCTCTGGGTCACCTATCTGCATCTCCAGGCTCACGTCAGCTCACCTCCTCACTTGCTCACTGCCCCAGCCATGCTGGCTGCCTTTCTGATCTGTGAATAAGCTCATTCCCACCTCGGAGCCTTTGCACTTGCTGCCCCTGCCATGCTCTTTCCCCAGATCTGAATGGCTGGTTTCTCGTCATGATGTGATTCAAGTGTCACTTCCAGCCAGGCTCAGTGGCTCACACTTGCAATCCCAGCCTTTTGGAAGGCCAAGGCAGGCAGATCACTTGAGGCCAGGAGTTCAAGACCAGCCTGGCCAACATGGTGAGAACTCGTCTCTATTAAAAAAAAAAAAAAGAAAAATGGCTGTGTCTCAGCCTCCCGGGTAGCTGGGATTAGAGGTGTGTACCACCATGCCCACCTCTAATCCCAGCTACCCGGGAGGCTGAGACACAAGAATTGCTTAAATCTGGAAAGTGGAGGTTGCAGTGAGCCGAGATCATACCACTGGACTCCAGCTAGGATGACAGAGACTGGTTCTCAAAAACAAGTCACTTCCTCAGAGAGGTCCTCCCTGATCACCTTGATGAAAGTAGCACTCCCACCCTCACTCTCTACACTACAGAGGTCAAGTGACTAAGTGGCTGAGTAGAAGTCCAGTTCTGGCTGGGCATGGTGGCTCATGCCTGTAATCCTAGTGCTTTGGGAGGCCAAGTCAGGCAGATTATGTGAGATCAGGAGTTTGAAACCAGTCTGGCCAACATGGAGAAACCCGTCTCTACTAAAAATATTTTTAAAAAGTTAGGAGTAGTGGCTGGCCTCTGTAATCCCAGCTACTTGGGAGGCTGAGGCAGGAGAATCACTTGAACCCAGGAGGCAGAGGTTGCAGTGAGTGGAGATCATACCTCTGCACTCCAGCCTGGGTGACAGAGCAAGACTCTGTATCAAAAAAAAAAAGAAAAGAAAAATTCCAGTTCCATCACTTCTTAGCTGTGTGGCCTCAGACAAGTTGTTTAATCTGTGTTTTCTTTTTTTTTTTGAGACAGAGTTTGGCTCTTCTTACCCAGGCTGGAGCACAGCAGTGTGATCTTGGCTCCTTCTGCCTGGGGTAATTCACCTCCTGGGTTCAAGAGATTCTCCTGCCTCAGCTTCCCAAGTGCTGGGATAACAGGTACGCACCACCACACGCAGCTAATTTTTAATTTTTGTGTATTTTTAGTAGATATGGGGTTTCACCATGTTGGTCAGGCTGTTCTCAAACTCTTGACCTCAGGTAATCCACCCACCTCAGCCTCCCAAAGTGCTGGGATTACAGGCATGAGCCACCTCGCCCAGCCCAATTTTCTCATCTGTAAAAATGGAAGTAATCAGTTTCCACTTCATGAGTTATTATGACAAATTTATATAAAGCTTTTAGAGAGTGCCTGGTATGCTGATGAAGTGCTAACTCACGTGGGCAATTGTCTTGTTCACTCATTTAGTTGCTTGTGTTACATGTCACCATCTAGACTTTATATTCCAAGACAGTAGACACTTCGTTTTGTCCCCATCTTACATGTAGTAGGTACTCAATATCAAATTGATATATTTTTTTTTGAGACGGAGTTTCACTCTTGTTACCCAGGCTGGAGTGCAATGGCGCGATCTCGGCTCACTGCAACCTCCGCCTCCTGGGTTCAGGCAATTCTCCTGCCTCAGCCTCCCAAATAGCTGGGATTACAGGTGCGCACCACCATGCCCAGCTAATTTTTGTATTTTTAGTAGAGACGGGGTTTCACCTTGTTGACCAGGATGGTCTCAATCTCTTGACCTCATGATCCACCCGCCTTGGCCTCCCAAAGTGCTGGGATTATAGGCGTGAGCCACCGAGCCCGGCCTCAAATTGATATTAATTTGCCGGGCACAGTGGCTCACGTCTGTAATCCCAGCACTTTGGGAGGCTGAGGCAGGAGGATTGCTTGAGGCCAGGAGTTTGAGACCTGCCTGGCCAACACAGCATACAAACCATCTCTGCAAAAAAATAAAACTTAGCCTGGTGTGGTGGCACATGCCTGCAGTCCCAGCTACTCAGGAGGCTGAGGTGGTAGGATTGCTTGAGCCCAGAAAATTGAGGCTGCAGTGAGCCACGATCACACCACTGCATTCCAGCCTGGGTAACAGATGAGACCCCTGTCTCTAAAAGAATTTTTTTAATTTTTAAATAAAAAATAGAAAGGGTCTTAGGGGATATGAAAGCCCTATCTGCTGTCTCTGCCTTCAACTGTCCCCACTATCCCAGAGAGCCCTGAGGTGCCCCCTGCTGGACGGCACACAGGTGTTTCCTTCCAGGCAGCTGGTATCTGCGGTCCCTGTTTACACGTGGGTTCAGCTCTGTCCTCCAGGGTAGGGGACAGTAATGCTGAAAGGAGTTAAGAGCACTCACTTAGGAGCCAGATGTATCTGGATGGGAGCTTGTGCTTCTCCAGTTACTCTGTGTCACTTACTAGGAAACTGTAAGAGGGATGGCCATACCCTCTCCCCGGTTCCACCTCTGACTGGACTGAAGGTGGTGTGATAGGAAGTGCCCTATGCCCAGTGAGCCTTCTGGCCGGCCTCGCCCAGCCCTTTGAAGGCTGAGAAGCAGTTGTCTTGTCTTCCTGAACTAAACATCACTGGCCTGTCCAATGCCCCTCTAATGACAGGGAGAGAGAGTCTGAGGCTCCCCAGGTTTCCTCTGAGAAACCCATGTCCTGGAGAGAGACTGCAGCAGGCCCAGGGCCTCTGGGCTTCTGGCTCCTTCCTCAGGCTCTTGGCTGGAGGTGGCCTTCTGGTCATGTACCTTCCTCCCACCACTCCCCCTGCCTTCCTGGCTGTCCCGCTTCCCCTGTCCCTGGTCGGTCCATTGTGACCCCAGAGGCCTCTCCTGCTCTCACCCTCAGCACACCTTGGCTTTGGTTGCTGGCTACAGTCACTGCAACTCCTACACCTGTATCTGCAGCCCAGGGTCCCACAATCTCCATGGGCCTCTTTCCGGAATGCCCCATGGGTACCTGAAACTCAGGGGTGCTCCCCTCCACCTGCAGCCCCTCCCATACCCCCCACATTCCTGCGCTGACCTCCAGTCCTCACAGGCACCCCTACCTGCCCTCCTGCCCACAACCAGCCTCCACCTCATTTCCTCCCATAGCCCAGCGCAGGCTCCAATCCCCTTCCCACTCACCCCATCTCCTCTTAACCTGGCTCCCTGACACACCCACCCCTAAGCATTGGAGCTCACGGGGTGAGTCTGCTCCTCCATAGCCCTTCAACAAGCTGGGTCCCAAGGGCAAGGCATCAGTTCCTCTGTCTGACTGGCAGCTCAGGAGAGCATGGACTGTGCCTTCCCCATCAGACTAAAATCCCCTAGACGGGGCAGAGGGTGTCCTTGCAGAAGCAGCTATGCCGCTCCCTTGAAACAGTTTTTTGAAGTCAAGGTTTTGTCTCCCCTGTCAAACTCTGGATGCCTCCAGAACAGGGACTGCATCTCCACCACTGCACTGGAGGGCCCAGGACACTGGCCCCTTCCCCCGGGTTCCCATCCTTCATGTGGCTGGGCTGCTGATTCTTCCTGAGAAGTCTCTTATTCCCTGCTGTAACTTCAGGGTCCCCACACACGACCTGGCCTGGGGCTGGGGCTCTGGGAACTGTAAGCAAATGAATGAGTGTATGAATGAACAATTGCAAGCATGCCCCAGCTTGAACACTGCAGTCCCACGAGACCAGCAGGTAGGATCAGGGTTCAGAACCAAAGCAAAGCTGGAGGCTCTCAGTGATTTTATTGGTCTCCATTTCAGGAGAGGAGGGCAGAGGGTTCCAGGCCCTTCAAACACCTGCCCCCAGGACCGGCAGCTGACAGTCTTTGGAAGGGGCTGGGTTGGCCAGGAGTGCTAGAGCACAGAGTCTGGCACGGCACCTTCCCCTCCTCCCCTTCTCCCCTCCCCCAAGCCAATGCCAGGGCTAGCCTCTGGGCCAGGTTTGGAAGAGGGCCAAGGAGACCAGATGCTAATGACTCCAGGAAGAACAGCAGGGAATAGGCAAGAACTAAGAGAAACCCCAAACCAACCCTTTTTGTGTTTCCCCACCCCCACTTTCCATCCCCCACCCCAGGCCCCACACCTCCATCCCTGGGCCCAAGAGAACCAGTATCCTAGACCTTAGCACAGTTCACACCCACCCCAGTTGCCAGTCAAAGGAACTGACACCTTGCCCTAGGGGCCCAGCTTGATGAAGGGTTGTAGAGGCTTGGGGAGGGTGAGGAGCCAAGGACTCACGCCTATCTACTCCTGGCCTCTGCCCCTCCAGGCAGCTGGGGGAGGGTGGAGGCAGGCCACTCAGGACTCTACTCACATGCTGCTATTGGTCACCCGGGCCCTGAGAACTGGTACACCCCCTACCCCACTCTGCATGTAGTAAAGGATGGGGGATGGTAGGAAGGCCTAGGATAATCACTGGACCAAGAGAGGCCTGGAGGGCAGCCCCCCTAACACACCCTATTCTGGCCTCTGGGCAGCTTGGGTGTCTGTCAGGCGCCAGGCCCAGCTCACCCCTCCTCACTCTCACAATCCCAGCTTTGTCCTGCCTGGCCTGGCTGGGACCAGCTGGCTCCATACTGGCCAAGGGCCGCTGGAAACCAGAGCAGCTGGAGCCCCACCAAGTATTTTTCCAGGCTGGGCTGGGGGCCCTCAGGAGACAGAAAAGGATGAGAAGGGAGCAGTGTTCGTTCATTCAGCCACTTGTTCATCCATTCCTTCCTTGGACAAATAATATTTATTGAGAGCCCACTTTGTGGCAGGCCCTGTGCTGCGTGCAGGGGATTCAGCAGTGGGTCCAGTCAAGCCCACACCCTCCCGGAGCTACATTCTAGAAGCCGGCTAAGCAAAACTATGCCAACAAAACCTCTCCCCCACTGTTCCGCTCTGGGGCTGGGCTTGGAGCAAGAGGATGTGTGGTCTGGGGAAGGTGAGGACGCTATGGACTAAGTGAAGGCCTATCTATCCCCAGCCTGTGCCCCTCCAGGCAGCTGGGGGAGGGTGGAGGCAGGGCTGCTCAGGGTTCTACCCACACGCTGCTGTTGGTCACCCGGGCCCCGAACCAGCCCTTCCAGTAGACGGAGTCCTGCCCCCCGTGCTCGAAGCGAACGAAGCGGACGCCCGGCCCGTAGTCAGTGAAGGTGTGGGAGATCTGGGAGCGGAGGTAGCGAGAGTCAGCCTCCGAGGTCCTGATGCCTCTCCTGCCGCCCCATCCCAGCACACTCCCACCCCGCTCGGTTTCTCTGCGGTACTCAGAGCTCTCTCCACCACCCGGTGACTACCTCAGCCCTGCGCAGTGTGGGCGGGCCATGGGAGGGGTCTCCTAAAGCCACGCCCCTCCACCCTGGGCTCCCCAGGCTTACTTCCATCCAGCCTCCGCCGTCACTGTCTTGGGGCACTGCCACCTGCCCGCTGTTGAACTCGGCCAGCACATCCTCGTGCTCGGACAGTAGCTTCACGGTGAGCTCGTAGAGGCAGCCAGCGTCGCTGCGGCCAGAGTACCTGACCAGAGGGAGAGAGCGAGGTGGGGGGGTGGGGCATGGCCTCAGCACTGCTGATCTCGCCCTGGAGATGGGATTTCCGCAGAAGTCCTCCTGAGCACCCAGCATCCCTGTCGGCCAGTACTGCCAATGCTCCCAGCTTACAGATAAGGAAAACGAGGCCAGCAAGAGAAAGTGACAGCCCAAGAGCCAAACAAAAGGACTAAATTCCAGGTCGGCCAGATCCCAGCCTGGGGCTGAAGCCAGTCCAGAGTGTCCTTTGGTTGGACCGCACTGACTTTGAAATATATACATTACATATATACAAACATATATATGTGCATATATTTGCCAACATTTAAAACTCAAGAGGGGAGGTGGGCTTCCAGGTTCTGAAAACTCACAAGCTGTCAACCCTTGCAGATCCGTGGCCCACGTGGCCTCAACCCCTGCAGTGGGGAGGCAGCACCCCGGGGTGGTGGTGGGAGGTCCCCAGTTGGCTCACCCCTCTGCCTTACCCCGCTCCTCACAGCCCCATGCCACCCCAGGACCCTCTCACCAGTCCTTCACCACGATGGCCGGCTGAGTCGTATCCAGTAGCTCCTCCCAGTAGCCCTCGGCATGCAGGTCAATGACCTGTGCTTTGCGGCACCACCTGGGAGAACTGGAGTTAGGACAGAGCGAACGCCTCCCCCGCAACCCCTCCTCCACCCCCTTCTCCTTACTCAAAGGAGGAGGCGAAGTACTTCTTGACGCTCTCATCATGGGTAAATTCCACCCCACTGTCTCCAGGCAGCTCCTCCACCCTCCAGCCGTCCCCACCATGCTCCACGTCACACCAGCCTTCCAAGTCCTCTGTAGGGACACGACAGCCCCACCCTGGTCACCCAGTCCCTGCTAAGGCTGTGGAGGGCTGGCTCTTGCCACTATGTGGAGGGGGGCAGGGCAAAGGTGGCACCTGGTGTCAGGGTGGGCAGATGATGAATGAGAGGGTGGACCAGTGGGCACTGTCTGAATCTGCCTCCCGGGAGGCGTGTCCCCTATCCCGCCCTGCCCCAACTGGCTGAGGGTGGGAGGACCTGAGGCAGACCCCAGGGCGCAGACGGCCAGAGAGCCATAGTAATAGACAGCCTTGGGGCTACTCAGTGTTGGCACCCAGCCAGGCGCTTTCTCCCATTTCTCCCTCAAAGCCAGTCGGCTCTGTTTCGGCCCATTTAGCAGCAGGGGAAGCTGAGCTCGCCCCGCGCCGGCCTCGCACCTTCCCCGCACGGGTTGCGCAGCAGATTGCGGCGCCGCTTGCTTAGGAAGTAGAACCGCTGCCAGTGGTCGCGCTCCTCCTCCGCGCCGCCCTCGGGCACCAGCCCCTCCTGCTGGCACTTGAGCAGCCACAGCGGGGCACCGTCCACCAGCTCCTTCCAGCGCAGGCACACCAGGCGGCAGGCCTGCACCAGCTCGGCGGCCGGGAGCGCGGCCAGCACGCGCAGCAGCAGCGGCTCGGGCAGCTCGTCCAGGTACGCGGCCGCAGCCTCCTCCTCCTCCTCCTCCTCCTGATCCTCCGGCCGCTCCTCCTCGGTGCTCACCTCCTCCGGCTGCTCCTCTGGGCTTGCCTCCTCCGGCTGGCCCACGCTCTCTGCAGGTAGGGGTGGGTGGGGGGCTGTGACTCCCCCACGCTGTCCCCCTCCAGGCCCCAGGACTGCAATGTACCTGTATCCTCCCCGACCCACCGTGGGACAATCCACAGCTGGGGCTGGAGATTCCGTGACCCCAGACTGCTGTCCAAGGAGGAGGACCACAGGGCCACACACCACCCCTGGATCAGCCCCCAAGTCCAAAGAGGTGCCTGTTTCCTCAGCTGGACCAGTAAACTCCAGGCCTGGGCAGATATACAGCATCAAGGATCATATTATTATTATTAATGACGTCTATCTATAGCACTGTCCTAACCCTTTCACACAGGAACTCCTTTCAGTCTCCCAAGCACACTCTGAGATCCCCGTTCCCCTCACCTCCTCAGGAAGCCTTCCAGGACTTCTCCCATGACACCCCCCGACCCGTCCCAGGCACAGCCGTTCCTAGCTTTTTTCCTGGGGTGTGATCCTGTGATAAACACCTGTCTCTGGCCTCATGAGGGCCAGAACACGGTCTGGAAAACACACAGCTTCATGCCCTGTGCCTGGCATCTGGCACCTTGCCTGCTGTGTTGTCAGGAGCTCATGTGTTGGGCTACTCCGCAAGTGTTAGGACTGTCCAAAGCATTTCAACTTCATTTACTCTTTAAATTCTCATACCAGCTGGGTGGCTCATGCCTGTAATCCCAGCACTTTGGGAGGGTAAGACAAGCAGATCACAAGGTCAGGAGTTCGAGACCAGCCTGACCAACATTGTGAAACCCTGTCTCTACTAAAAATATTTAAAAACTTTAGCTAGGCATAGCAGTGCATGCCTGTAATCCTAGCTACTTTTAGGAGGCTGAAGCAGGAGAATCGCTTGAACCCAGGAGGCAGAGGTTGCAGTCAGCTGAGATCGTGCCACTGCACTCCAGCCTGGGAGACAGAGACTCCATCTCAAAAAAAAAAACAAAAAAACAGAAAGTAAAAGTAAATCCTCATATTATTTAAGGTTGCTTTTATTGCTGTCCTTTTTTTTTTTTTTCTTTTTTTTGAGATGGAGTTTCACTCTTGTTGTTCAGGCTGGAGTTCAATGGCATGATCTCAGCTCACCGTAATCTCTGCCTCCCGGATTCAAGCAATTGTCCTGCCTCAGCCTCCCAAGTAGCTGGGATTACAGCCAAGCACCACCATGCCCAGCTAATTTTTTGTATTTTTAATAGAGACGGGGTTTCTCCACGTTGGTCATGCTGGTCTCAAACTCTCGACCTCAGGTGATCCACCCACCTCGGCCTCTCAAAGTGCTGGGATTACAGGCATGAGCCACTATGCCCGGCTTGCCGTCCTTATTTCACTGATGAGGAAACTAAGGCACAAAGAGGTGAAACGGCCCAGGATCACATGGCTAATCAGTGGTTGGAGCCTGGATATGAACCCAGACAGTCTGACTCCAGAGCCATCTTAAATCATCACAGCCTCCACAAAATAATTCACTGAATTAATAGGCAGTGTTAGGATTTTGACTTTTCTGGTTTTTTGTTTTTGTCTTTGTTTTGAGATGGAGTCTTGCTCTGTCACCCAGGCTGGAGAGCAGTGGTGCAATCTCTACTCACTGCAACTTCTGCCTCCCAGATCAAGCGATTCTTCTGCCTCAGCCTCCCAAGTAGCTGGGATTACAGGCATGTGCCACCATGCCTGGCTAATTTTTGTTTCTGTTTTTGATTTTTTTTTTTTTTTGAGACAGAATCTTGCTCGGTCGCCAGGCTGGAGTGCAGTGGCATGATCTTGGCTCACTGCAACCTCCACCTCCCGGGTTCAAGCAATTCTCCTGCCTCAGCCTCCCAGGTAGCTGGGACTACAGGTGCACACCACCACGCCCAGCTAATTTTTCTTTTTGTATTCTTAGTAGAGACAGGGTTTCACCATGTTGGCCAAGATGGTTCGATCTCTTGACCTCAGATGATCCACCCTCCTCGACCTCCCAAAATGCTAGGATTACAGGAGTCAGCCATCTCACCCAGCTAACTTTTCTTTTTAAAGATGCAGTCTCACTATGTTGCCCAGGCTGGCCTCCAACTCCTGGACTCAAGCAATCCTCCTGCCTCTGCCTCCCAAAGTGCTGGGATTACAGTCATGCTCTACCACACCCAGGCCAGGATTTTGACTTTGCAAGTGCAAATACTCAGGCTCAGGGATGAAGTGACTTGTTGAAGGACACATTGCCAGGATTTAGGGAAGGGGACATGGGACCTGAGGCCTTCATGGTAGGGAGAACAGAGCCTAGAGATCCAGCTATTGTGTGACTTGGGGATGAGGAGGGACTCATTAAAAGAAACTGTATCAAGCAAGGAGAGGACATAGGGGCTTGGGGCCCTCAGTTTTCTCATCTATAAAATGGGGGTAATCATTGTGCCAGGCCAGACAGACAGGACAGATGTCCCAATCCCCTGAGAAGGGAGGTAAGAGCATTCTGAATTGTAAAGAGGTGGGCAGATGTCACCGCGGCAGCCGGACTATCTCTTGGATCCCAGTTGGCTTCAGCTGGGCCGTCACAGCCCTGAGTAAATGGACACTGAGTGCCCCAGATGCCTGGATGAGGGAGAGCCAGTGAGGAGGAGACAGGGCCACTCTGAATCAGGGAGACCACAGCTCTCAGATCTATGAACGCAGAGTTCCTGATGGCTAGGCCCCGGAGAGCCAAGGCAGTGGTGGGCACAGTCCAGGCACTGGGGAAGGGGACAGGTGGCAGGGCCCAGACCCAAGTCTCCAGGCCCACCAGCCCCTAACCTTCTCACATGCAGCCTCTCCTCCCTGCCCAACACACAGTCAGGCCCTTGAGAGCTTTCTCAGAGCCCAAAGCACACAGTGAGTCTTCAGTCTTCCTGAGTGAACCTCATTGAACACAGCACTTCTCCTCCCTTGTTAGCTTTTTTTTTTTTGGCCACATCTTTATGATGTGAGGATTTACACCTGCCCCTTTGGCAAAGAGGAAACGGAGACCAAAAGGGGCTTAATGGCTTCTTCTAGACCACATCACCGAACAGCGGGAAGACAGAGGAAAAGGCCAGGCCTGAAGCCACATCACCTGCCCAGGCTAATGAATGCCCTCAGCTCTCTGGGCAGCTGGGCCCAGTGTCCTCACCTCTCCAGTCCTCCCCCTCCCTGGTCCTGGCCCCAGCAGACACCTGATGCTCCCCGAAAGGTGCACCTCACCCAGTCCCCTCTTCTGGCTCCAAGGCCTGGCACTGGAGGCCCCAGATCCAATTACAGTTCCCCCCACCCTCTCTCTTGCACACACAACTCCCCACATTGTAGCTGGCGGAAAGTTATCTGGCTCATGGAAGCTGCCTGCTTGCGAGGCTGATTCACTCACCTGGATTAGGCCCCAGAGTCCGGGGAATAGCTGAACCCTGGGAAAAAGCAGGAGCCAGTTCTCTAGCCCTACAGAGGGTGTGGCCAGAAGGCCAGGGATTGGGAGCAAGGGCTGCAGGTGCTGGTATTTTCATGGTTGGAGGTGGGGGGTGGTTTTGGGGGCCTGAGCTTCCATCAGTCTGTTTGCCACCGCCTACCCCAAGCAAAGCCCATCCCCCCACCTGGACCTGATGAGGAAAGAATGGTGGCTATCTGCAGGCAGGTCTTGTTCCCATCCTGACTCAGCAGGCCCAGCAGGGAGTTGGAGGAATGGGGGTGGGGGGTCTTGGGTGCCAGAGAGGATGACTGGGCAGTCTGGGAGGGCCCGGAGCACCAGCCAGAGCTGCCCCCAACGCTCCCTCACCGCTGGCCTGGTCCTCACTGGGCATCTCACCACCCCGGGGAGGGGCAGCCCCTCCAGGCAAGAGAGCTCAGGAGGAAGGCAGGGATACGTGAAGACAGGCCAGGGGCCCCAAGGAACCCACGGGCATCCAGGCGGCCCCAGAGCCAGAGCTGGCACTTGGCAGAGCTGCTGGAAGAAAAGGCTCGCAACCTCCGTCCCAGACGCTTCCCAGACAGAAAGCTGGGAAGCGGGAATGTGGGGGTCCTCTGGTGCTACTTCTTGGCTAAATGGGACCCAGGAGTCCTCCCTCCCTGCCGGTCGCCTCTCATGGCCTTCCGCCAGACCGAGGTAGCAGAGAGATGTGCTCTTTGAAGACCGCCTCCAGGACTTTGCAGGCGTGAAAGTTTGCCCGCTGGGTCTCGGGGGCCCCCTCGCTCTCTGACGCCCCTCTGCGCGGCGCTCGCCCGCCGACCCCGTCTCCCCTCCCCGCTGCAGCGAGCAGTGCAGGCGGCAGCTACCTGGGTCACCGTCTCCGTCCATCGCTGCGGAGGGCGGTCGCTAGAGGTGGAGCCGGAGCGCTGCAGACTGCGTGAGTCCCCGGACGGCGAGTCCCGGCGCAGTCCGCGTCTGGGTCGGTCCCGGCGGCCGCGTCTCTTAAAGGACCCTGCCCCGCCCCGCCCCGCCTCTGGCACCGCGCCCGGCGGCCCCGCAGTCCCAGCAGCCGGCCCGAGACCTGGGGCTGCAGGTTCCTCAGCGGACCTAGGAGGCTGGGAAAGGTCAGGAGTTGGCTTATTTTAAATTGGGGACGGGTCCGATTTGAGGCATCTCCCAGCTCGCTCCTGGAGGGCTGCTGGGAGGAGGCGGCGAGGGGAGTCAGGGAGAGGCTGGGTCAGGCTGAGGGTGCGGGGCGGGTGGCCCAGATGGAGTGGGGGGGGTAGGAGGCGCTTTCCGCCCCACGCCCCACCCCCCACCCCAGGTAATTTTCCTACGCCACGGTCGGGGGCGCGTCCCTGGCCCCGCGCAGCGCGGCGCGGCGCGGCGCGAGGCGGGGCGGGGGGGGGGGGGTGGTGGGGGGGCAGGGCCTAGCGGGCTAGGGCGGGGCCTAACTTCCCGGGCGAGCGCAGGCCCAGTTGGTGAAGCCCGGAGGGTCAGCAGATAGTGCCGCGGCTGCCGTGCGCAGGTGACTGGCGGGAGGGTGCACGGGGGGCACGGGGGGCGCTGGGCAGGGGGTGCGGCCGGGGGGGGTGCTGCCGGGAGAGTCTGGGTTCCCACTCGCGCCGCAGTTGCCTAGGAAGGCCTGGCAGCGACCAGGCCCAGGCCGCCGAGCTTGCCCCGGCTGCGCTACGCGGCCGCGAACCCGGGTTGGGGTCGCCACCGATGTGCAGGCGTCCAAGCCCAGACTTTGGGGGAGGCGGACATCTTAAAGCACAGTGTGGGAAGGGGAGGCTGCAGGCGCGCTGGCGGACTTGAGGCAGGAGGAGCCCAACCGCGGGGCTGGGGGTGGGGGTGGGGAGATAGGGCCTTCCCCTGTCGCCAACCCTCTTGCCACTCCCAGCTAAGCAGGTCTTTTCTTCTGAGATCTTGAGAATATGGCTGCAGCCTTTTGGACCTCCGTGAAAGGCAGTGATAACACCCTTCTCCCATCACGTTCCGAGGATGGGAGAGAGGATGGTGACGGCACAGGAGGCCTGGGGTGCTCTGTCCGGCTGCGCATTACATCCCCATTAATGACTGGCCTACTGAAAAAGGCTGGCCCTGGAATCACAGAAGATCCGGGCTCCTGCCCCCTCTACCCTTATGTTTTTTTGACCTTGGGCACTGCTTTCCACCTCTTCTGGGAGGCCAGAGAAAAAAAAATGACAGCTCGGTTTTTATTAGAGCACCTGATGTGTCCCAAGCCCCTTGGATGGCCCCAGAGCAGGGATGAGGGATGAGGCCTGCTGCATAGCTGCAGAGCAGGGATGAGGGATGAGGCCTGCAGCATAGCTTTTCAACAGCCACAGGAGGGTGTCCAGAAGCCACCAGCCATGGCCGTGGGAAACATCAACGAGCTGCCGGAGAACATCCTGCTGGAGCTGTTCACGCACGTGCCCGCCCGCCAGTTGCTTGTGAACTGCCGCCTGGTCTGCAGCCTCTGGCGGGACCTCATCGACCTGGTAACCCTCTGGAAACGCAAATGCCTGCGAGAGGGCTTCATCACCGAGGACTGGGACCAGCCTGTGGCCGACTGGAAGATCTTCTACTTCCTACGGAGCCTGCACAGGAACCTCCTGCACAACCCGTGTGCTGAAGGTGGGGTACAGGCCGGGTCTGGCATGCCCACAGTACACACACTGTCATGACACCAGTACTATGTATTAAGCACTTAATATAAGCCGGGTACTTGGATGGTTTAACTCCTTTCTCCTCTCACAGTTGCCCAAAGTGGTGGGTACTGATAGTGCACACATTCTTCAGATGAGCAGACTGAGGCCAAGAGTGGTGTTTCTTATTCCGGTTTTTTTTTTCTCTCTCTTTTTTTTGAGATGGGAGTTTCACTCTGTCACCCAGGCTGGAGTGCAGTGGCGAAATCTTGGCTCACTGTAACCTCTATCTCCTGGGTTCAAGCAATTCTCCTGCCCCAGCCTCCCAGGTAGCTGGGATTACAGGCATGCGCCATTACGCCTGGCTAATCATTTCGGGGTTTTTTTGTTGTTCTTTTTGTTTTTTTTAAGACAGAGTCTCACTCTGTTGCCCAAGCTGGAGAGCAATGGTGCGATCTTGGCTCATTGCAACCTCTGCCTCCCGGGTTCAAGTGATTCTCCTGCCTCAGCCTCCTGAGCAGCTGGGATTACAGGTGCCCACCTGTAACACACCCAGCTAATTCTGTTTATATTTAGTAGAGAGACGGGGTTTCACCATGTTGACCAGGCTGGTCTCAAACTCCTGGCCTCAAGTGATGCGCCTGCCTTCGCCCTACTAAGTGCTGGGATTACATATGTGAGCCACCACACCCAGCCTCTTATTTTACTCTTAAGATTATTTCTTCAGTGACCTTTCCTAGGAAAGGGAATGTTGGCCAACTGGGACGAATTCTTCTCAAAACACAGCCAGGGCCACTGCACTCCAGTCTGGGCAACAGAGCAAGACTCTGTCTCAAAAAACAAAACAAAACGACACAAAGGCCGGGAAGTCAGACCCATATTTTGTTTCTAGGCTCCAGAGGGCCAAAGGGGTTTTGCTTGTGGAAGAATGGGAGATCCAGCCTTCTTCCCAGTATGTTACAACAGGTAAAGCAAGGCTTCTACAGCTCCTTGCTTGCTGGGTTGTCAGGTAGACACTGGGATGGGATGGGAACCCTGTTTTCCACAACATGACCAAATTCTGGAGCAAAATGATAATAAAACAATTCCTCCAAGCTGTGCATGAGCCAAATCTGGCTAAGGTATTAAGAATTGTTTTATGCTGGGCACAGTGGCTCATGCCTATAATCCTAGCACTTTGGGAGGCCAAGGTGGGCAGATCACCTGAGGTCAGGAGTTCAAGACCAGCCTGGCCAACATGGTGAAACCCTGTCTCTACTAAAAATACAAAAATTAGCCGGGCGTGGTATATTAGCAGGCGCCTATAACCCCAACTAGTTGGGAGGCTGAAGCAGGAGAATTGCTTGAACCCGAGAGGCAGAGGTTGCAGTAAGCCAAGATCGCGCCATTGCACTCCAGCCTAGGCAACAAGAGTGAAATTCCATCTCAAAAAAAAAAAAAAAAGAATAATTTTTACATTTTTAAAGGGTTATGTAAAAAAAGAAGAAGAAACAACAAAAAACTATGCAGTAGAGATAGTATATAGCCCACAGGCCTCAAATATGTTGGCATTTTGCCAAAAAGTTTCCCAGCCCCTGTTCTTACTCCAACTTACAGAGGAGATAACCAAAGCTTAGAGAGGAAAAGCAATTGGTCCAAGGCCACACAGCCAAGTACTGGTCAAGCTGGGATTAGACCCAGGTCTGTCTGGCCCACATCAGAGCGTTCTCCATCACAGAACGGGTCTGGCCATTCGCATCACCATGTGTCTCAGGGCCCCTAGGGAAATTACTTCCCTGTGCCTGCGACACAGGAAGCACCTAAGACTCACTGTGATCCTCAGCGTCCCCAGCACAGGACTTGAGGGCAGCTGCCAAGATGCAAGCAGAGGAGCGGGGAGGAAGGGGGACGGGGAGAAGGTAGCCACGGAGGGGCTTCCCTTCAGTGTGAACTCTGCTTTTCCACCAGAGGGGTTCGAGTTCTGGAGCCTGGATGTGAATGGAGGTGATGAATGGAAGGTGGAGGATCTCTCAAAAGACCAGAGGAAGGAATTCCCCAATGACAAGGTCAAGAAATACTTCGTGACTTCATATTAGTAAGATTTGGGGACTTGGGGTCAGGGGAAAGCCCAAATCAGTTTATCCTGAGGTCTCTCCTACCCCAGGAAGGGGCAGTCCTAGACCCTCACTGCCCTAGTGGTGGGCCCCAGCCCCTCCCACCCCTCTGCCTGCCCCCAGCACCTGCCTCAAGTCCCAGGTGGTGGACCTCAAGGCTGAAGGGTATTGGGAGGAGCTGATGGATAACACACGGCCGGACATCGAGGTCAAGGACTGGTGAGTGCCTGGGGCGAGGGTCTGGGGGGGGGCATGCCACTCAGGCGCCCCACCCCCGCCCTGCCCCCAATCTTCGAGGCCCTGATGGGCCCTCCCTCTCCCTGCAGGTTCGCAGCCAGGCCAGACTGCGGGTCAAAGTACCAGCTGTGCGTTCAGCTCCTGTCATCCGCTCACGCACCTCTGGGGACCTTCCAGCCAGACCCAGCGACCATCCAGCAGAAGAGCGATGCCACGTGGAGGGAGGTGCGTGGGTCTGGGAGGCAGGGGCAGAGGCAGATCATCCAAGGCTGAGGCTGCAGTCAGATGGGCCTAGGTTCAGATCCAAGCTCTGCGCTTTCTCACCTGTGCTTCCAATGCTCTGGGCTTCACTCACTGCTTCTATAAAAGAGGTATATAGTGCTTCCCTCATAGAGCTCCGAAAGAAATGATGAAATGATGCTGGTGAAGCCAGAGCCAAAAAATATTTCAAAACGTTGACCAGCTGTGGCTCACGCCTGTAATCCCAACACTTTGGGAGGCCGAGGAGGCCCGATCACCTGAGGTCAGGAGTTTGAGACCAGCCTGGCCAATATGGAGAAACCCCGTCTTTACTAAAAACACAAAATTAGCCAGGTGTGGTGGCACATGCCTGCAATCTCAGCTACTCAGGAGGCAGAGGCAGGAGAATTGCTTGAACCCGGGAGGCAGAGGTTGTGGCGAGCCAAGATTGCGCCACTGCACTCCAGCCTGGGCAACAAGAGCAAAACTCCATCTCAAAAAAAAAAATTCCAAAAGTTTGACAGTTGGTAATTACTAATATTGATTATTATTGTTTTCTAGACTTGGGTGAGCAAATTTGTTTGTTTTAATTTACTTATTTTTAGGGACAGGGTCTCTGTCACCCAAGCTAGAGTGCAGTGGCACATTCATTGCTCACTGCAGCCTCAAACTCTTAGGCTCAAGCCGTCTTCCTGCCTCAGCCTCTTGAGTAGCTGGGAATGCAGGTACCTGCCACCACACCCAGCTAATTAAAAAAAATTTTTTTGTGTAGAAATGGAGTTCTGCT